GGGCAGATGTTTCGCGGAGCCAACGTTTAGGTACACGGAAGCCAACCCAAATCGGGCGGTCAACTCTGGGAGGCGTATACCGTAGAAAAAAAAAGGAACTGATTGTGCTAGCGACACGTCCATCAAGGGCCAGATAAGGTTCCTCGATGCAACACTTCCATAGAGTGGTATAAGTGTTGTTATCTAACTATGTGTTCCGTTCGTCCGCGCATTCCTATGTGCTGTATATTTCATTGCAACCCGCTGCAAAAGACCAGTATCGCTTGTGATATCGTCTCTCATGTCTTTTGTAGCGCTAGAATGGCATCATCAAAATACCACTTTTTAATAGATCGTATACTGCACAAGTCCAATCAGCTCTGCCCACTTTCACATGTGCACCACACCGTTGGACATAACACTGACACAGCTTCCGATGATATACGGATATATGTGTACAGTCAGTGTAAACACTGCCGACATACGTAAACGGCAAATCAACGCTCGCTTATAAACAAACACATTATCGTTGTTATCGCCGGCTTAGTCGATTTACTTTTCAACGTCAAGTGTATGTAATTCTGGTGAAAGCTATGGCTATATTCAGTATTGCCGGCTACACTCGATGATCTCGTCCTCATATACGGATAATCTCAGTAGTGCCGCTTCATATGGTATACCCGGACCAGGACACACTTTAGCGTTGAGTTTCAAACAGCGTTTTTATGGAGCTAGTGATTGAAAACGGGTACACGTCATCGAACCTTCAAGGCTGGTCAGGCGTATACTAAAATTAAGTTACGTTGTCTTACGGTACCTAGGTTAATTGCAAATAACGAGAGTGCCTTGCAGTGGCCAATCTCGCAGGTCACGGAATGTCGCTATATAGCGAGAGTTCCCGGTCAGCATCCACGTCAGTCATGACGCACGTTGAACCGACAAGCCGACCGCTATCTATCGCAATGGAGCGCTTACGGCGCCCGCCTTACGCAAGCACCAACGTTAGCGGAGTGATAACGCAGACCAAGGCAGATCAGTGCGCCACACTTCAATACGATAGAACCAAACAACGGCCTGAAACTGCGCCGCGCAGACAGACGCGAGCCGATCTGAGGCATGACCATATACAGAAGGATCCTTGTTTACACGTTCTTCAAACGAAGGGCATCGGCACCTGACGCTGTGTCCATAAGTATGTGAACATGCCGTCCCGTGTATATATAATCAAAGAAAACTGCAGATACGCTATCATCCGTGGCTGAAGCCTAGCTATGATCGGATCAATTGTCTGATGGCAAAACGCCGATAACGTGCAAGCACCAGTTGGGAATTGCAGCGCGCTATTTTAGGCGAGTTGCCGGCTTTATTATACTATACGACAGCCTGTGCACTATAGTAGAGCCTTTCGCCTAGTCACAGCAACATTAAGGGGAGATGCGGGTCGAAAAACGCGAGTTTTTTTTTTTTTTTTCAAAATTACCTATTTTTTATTTTCGCCTGTTTTGACAAGATTAGTACCTCTACTGTTATGAAAAAAAAATATTACAGGTCGAACACTTAACTGGAAATGCTTTAAAATTTCGTTTAAAGAGCACAACAAGGTGCCTGTTAAAAGGTCGAAAGTGTGCATTCTTCGAGCACCTTGCCGCCGATAATGCGCCGCCGCTAGCCATTGTTGATCGCATGAGTCGAAGAGTCGAAGCCTCACTCTTCAAATAACAACGGTTTCTCTCGCTGATGCAGCGCAAGAAATAATAAAAAGAATCGCTCTTCTGTGCGTTTTTCGAGGCGCCGCGACTGGCTTATCACATGGTACGAATCGGGGACCGCCATTGGCCGCTGCGCGCCTGTACGTGCTGTGAAACCTGTTTTGCGGGGTCCATGTCTTGTCGAGCAGCGCAGCTGAACAATGCTTTTCTCGTGTAATTCTCTTCGTTATGAATGAAAAAAGGCATCACTCGCAAGTGAAAGCCGTTGTGCGGCGCGCTCTCTAGGAATAGGCTACGAGCAGCTGGTCCGATTTGCGGCAGTTGTTGGCTTGCAAAAACCAATGCATCAGAGTCATTCACCACCGTCAGCCGGAAAGTTCATGATGGGGCAATGGATGACGTCAGCACCAATCTTGAGAGGTCGAAAGAGCTCGCAGTGAGAGTACTTAGCAGGGACGACATTGCCATTATGTACGACGGTATGTGGCACAAACATGGCTGCAAAATGGCATGGCACTAGACTTAGTTTGGATTTCGCAGTCCTGTCGAACTACTTCCTAGCTTGTAGTTGGCACAAGGCTCTGCCAGATGGAGCGGAAGTTTGGCAAGCGTTTCATGGCCCTGTCTGTGAGCGAAATGTCTGTGAGGAGTCGGCTCGAAAACGCCGAGAGGGACAAGCTCATGGTGCTGGCCATAGTCGCAGTGGCCACTACGAGAAGGATTGTTCTTTTTGGTGTGCAAATTTCATCTGATTTATAATATCTTTCATAAATAAAACTCAATTTTAACTTTAAAACTCGTTTTTTTTAACACAAATTTCGCCATTTCTTCCAATGTGCCCCTCCTTTTTTGGGCATTTATAGAGCTCAGGTCTGCATGAAATTTCGCCAATTTTTTTCCAAAATATGACAAATGCAATTATCTAGTTTAAATTTCAACATTTTATTGTATAATAAAAAATTGTATGTATACCTTTACTAGGGCATGTGAAATAGACTTTTTACGTCTATTATTTTTCACGCGTATTACATATTTTGTATGTGCTTTCCAATTAGTTATTTGCATTCTAGACTTCATTTGAAGCATTATGAACTATGAATGGTAAAATATTACAGAATTTTAGGGATGAAAAGAAGGGGGCAAAGGGGTTGATGTTATCACTTTGTCATGTTGCAGAGCTAAAAGTGTGTAACTTGCAAGAAAACTAATATAATATTTGAAATCAGCATAAAAAGTTCCGTAAACAGCTCAAGTTTCATTCCTCTGGGGTGAATATTAAAGATAAAGTGTCTTCGAGTAGCATTTCCCCTTAACAGGACGCGCTGCTGCTGGTCACAAGGTCATGGATATGACAAGCGGTTGTCTTTATTTCCATGTTTAATAAGTACTTGGGGCAGCGCTTGTTCTCCGCAAGTGAAAGCAACGAGTGAAGGCGAATCGCACATGCGAAGAGTGACGTTAATGCAAGCATCGTTTACATAACAGCGAAGCTAAAAGCTAATAGGGGGGAACTACACTACGCGTACAATTGTGCACACCGTGCGTTGACGCCAGCAGTAGCCAACCCATGGCCACAACTGCAGCAGAATTTTGTGTAACGCGCAGACTTCAAAGAAAAAAAAAAGAAAAAGAAGAACTTAAGGTAAGCGACAATATCACACCACGCGATGATACAAACACTCTCTGGCTAAAGGGACATTAGAGTGGAACGACTTGGTTTAGATTGATATAATGCATGCATTCTTAGAATTCTGATGTCTTAATTTTCACTATCGTAAGTTCATCATTGGGGGAGAAAATCATGGTTTTAGTTTCATTTTTAAAATTCGCGCCGAAATCTCCGTGCGTGACGTTGAGAATTTCCAAATATACTTTTTTGTATTTTTAGCGACATTGGTTCGGTGAAATTTTCTGAAACTTTGTATGCTAGGGCTACCGTCTAGCACTTGATTTTTACCGATTAGAAACTGCATATTTATGACGTCACGGTGTTCGGTGTGGGTCTCCACCCGCGTTTTCTTTTCGCGCGTTTTCTCGCTTAAAAAAACGTCGTCTCGTGGTAAGAATGTTGTCGTCGAGGTTGTGAAATACTAATAAGCGAAAAATTGTTTTCTGCTGCTATCCCTTTAAAGGGCCGCCTTCGCTACGCTCCGTCCGTTGTTGACTGCTCATGGCCGAGTGTTTCTCCTCAAGTTAACAGGCAGCGCGCGTATTTGCAGTGTCCTGCAGGCAGACAGACTGATTTTCCCTGCTGCTAGCATGAGCAGATTCTTCTGGTGGCGTCACGGCCAACGCTAAGGATAACGGAAGGGCCGGAGAGGCCCATTCATTACGCCCGTGCGCGCGCGTTTTGCTTTATGAGCGCAGTTACTTGAAATGTTAAAAACGAACATCAGAGGTGGCGCATGTATAGGGGGCCCTTTAATGGCCTATATAGTATGTTGTGAAGTACCGTCGTTCAAAAGAAAAACAGCCAAGCCTGCACGGAACGCGCAGAACAGCCACAGCGAAAGCTGGAAGTGCGGCCTTTCCTGAACACTATTTGGGTAACTGCTACAAGCACGTTTGCTGGGTACCCACTACGCCATAAATAATCATAATTATGGGGGGCCCTTTGGGTTGTCCAGAGTGGGAGCGGCCCACGGTGTCGTCCTAAGAAGTGGCCCTTCTCCGGATCTTTTTTAGGAGCTCTTCGTACCGTCCCGTGGCCGAAATTAACTGTGATCTTCTTCTCATGCATTCTTCGAAGAAGCGTGGTATCCGCTACACACATGCAAGAAATTTTGTGCGAATTTTTTTATGAAGTGGCTGATGACGGTGAATCATGCATGAAGTGGGTATGCGCCACAGTCAACAGGTGATCAAGAACAAGCTTTTGTAATGGGCTGGAGCATTGTACGACCCACTCATTACGCAATTCTCATCGTGCGATGCGCCTGGTTGATCATTTTGCTCTTCTAAAACGCTTCATTACTCATACTAACGCGATCTCTTTCCCGCAATCAAGTCTGCCCAAAAGCAAGTTTGCGACGAAGTTTCAAGCATCGTAGTGGCTTTGCAGTGGAATACTGACCTGGCACGCAGGGGACCCGGGTTCGAACCCGGCAGTGTCTTAAGTGTTTTTACATTTTTTTTTTTTCATTTCGTGCATTAGTTGTTACGCGCGGCAGCGGACAACTACGGTGCCACACGCGACCTTTGTTGTGATCACGTAACAGCTTTCGCTGTAATATGTTATCGAAGTCACGAACGTGACCCTTTTTAGAGAAGCCGTCAGCTTTGCCCTCTCACCTTTGACATTCTTGTGCGCAGGCATCCAATGGCTCGGCGACGCATGCAATGACGACGACGACTGCCACGACGCATTCAACCTGCTGTGCGTGAGAGGCCAAGTGCGTCTGCAAGCAGGGATTCGTCTCGGCGCAGTTCAGCTGCCATCCAGGTATAAACAGCTGCCGTCTTCGCGTAAGGATGTGCGCTAAACCAAAATGCGGGAGGCTTATTTAAATGGATATCGAGTGCAAATCGAAGAGTCAGTGAACGCTTATTGCCCGTCTGGGTGGGCTTTCTGGCTGAAGTTCGCAAGGAAATGTGATGATAAGGCGAATGTAAGGTCTTACGTTATTCGCCCCCGAGCCTCGGAGTATACCAAATCGTAAAACTGTATTACACGAATTTTAGCCGAATTTCGCTAGCAGTCCGGAATGTTACGCGTGATTATATATAGTCCAGGCAGTTTGTTAACCACCGTGTGGTTATATGTCGGGCACGGGGCACTTACTTCATAGAGCGTTATATTTATCCGACCATAGGCGCGAACAGGGGAAGGGCAGCGGCCTCCCTCCCCTATAGTTACCTAAGAGAAGGGGGGTGCAAAGTGTGGCGAGGGGCACTGCGACCAACCTTCGCCACCTTATGCTAGCGTCCCTGTATATGCTACCGCAGGTATACATGTACAGGGTATGGAGCATATACAGTAACTCTAACTCATGCATCTGACTATAGTTCAATTTCATATAAAGCACTGGCTATGTGACCTCAACATCCCAAGCACAGACAGGATTGGGACTAATTTCACGCTATAGTCGCTTGTTGCAGTCAATTGCGTCGAGACGTAACGCTGTCTGTTTAAATGTCCAGAAATCAAAACGAAGAGCGCTAGATAATGCACCCTAGAGAAAGTTTTCTCATTTGCAATGAGTAATTACAGCTGCGCTATATTCTGAAGTAGACGTAATCTTATCGACGTAGGTGATGAATTACCGCATTTCCTGCATGAACAATTCCAAAGCAAGTACCAATAGATTAAACAATAAAAAAAGAAACAGTGAGGTCGTGCGATTCCAGAAACGCTTGGTACGAACAAAAACGTATGCCCTCTGTTCGTACCAGGCATAGGATCAATTTCCGCACGTCTCGCATCACATATATTGTCCGATCTAAAAAAAAGAGCGAGAGAGAGAGATAACTGAGAGAAGCCGCACACGGGCTTTCTTCATGTCGCGTCCTTGCGAGTGTACAGAACAAATGCGCGACTTCTCGTTCTCTTGCAGCGTCGCCCTTGGGCGGGGAGTGCACGTACCACGCCCAGTGCCAGTACAGCGACTCGCACAGCGCTTGCGATCTGACGGGACGCTGCGCGTGCGTGGACGGGTTCACGCCACGTCGGGACACCCCGAACACCAGGAGGAAGTGCGCCGCCGAGGAGGCGGACGACGACAAGCGTCAGTATCTGGCCGCTGCTCTGCCATCGAGAACGCACGCGATCACAGGCATGACAATACACTCAATTCCTCCACTGATGCACTAACTACGCATCTATCGCCATCCGAAAAAGAAAACTGCTAATAATAACGATAAGAAGAAATTGCACTAAAGGACACCATGTGGGGATGCGAGCAGCGCTAGTGTTCACTTGTGTTTCCATTTGTATGTTTCATTTGTGTGTGAAGGTGTGTACCGCTTATGTTACCCCCCTTCCCCTCCGATTTGTGTGTTACTGTGTGCGTACCGCAAAGTTAAACACTCAGCACTGGTAGGAGTGAAACGGGGCAAGCAGGCGCACCATTATGTAAGTACCTACGCACGCACACCTGTGGCGCATAGATAAATGGGGACACCTCCTTCACCCCACCTCCTCGCGTGAGCGCGAGGAGGAGAGCTGGCGCATGAGCAGTGGGGGAGCGGACGGTCGCCGAGGGGTAGAGAGAGCCCAAAGAATAAGTTGCTTCACATCTACAAAACAAAGCTAGCCGAAAGTAGTAGTATTTTACCAACCAAATTTAGATTAAATTTCGGCTAAGGGGATTCTCTTGAGAGGAATTAGTCGAAAGTGCAGCAGTAATGGCGTACAAAAAAAAAAGGAAAGAAAAAAAAAGGCCAACGCAATATGCTACATGATGCGATCTCTGGGCTGGCATTCAAAACGCTGAAAATCAAAATGACGAATTATAGGAATGCCGAAATTTAAAACACCGAAACTTCCAAGGAGCCGGAATATATTGAAAACCGAAAATTCAAGATTCTGAAATATCAAAACACCAAAACATTAAAACGCCAGCATCACCCAGCTATCGTAAGGATGAAGTGGGCATAGCCATAAATTTGTTTCGAGGTGGGGAGGTGGGTTCATCAATATTATATTTATGCTTGTGCATGCAATTCTACTGTGTGTTTGTGTACATAAACGCAAGCTATGAAAATTTTCAGGATGGGTGTTGAATCCCCCCACCCCTGCTCTGTGACATCAAGACAAGACAAAGGACCCGCTGGCCTTGTATAATGTAAACGCAGTTTCACCCTCTTTCCCGATAGCTATCTTAGATATATTTTTGCATCACCCACCCCATAGCAGTGCAATTTCTTGCTTATTGCCTTTCGCACAGATAAGTTCTGAAAACGTCGACACTGTCCCAGTTACCACGCACGGCTGCAAAATAATTTTTCCTGTTACCTTTGCTTCTCACTTTGTGAGCGGGCGGGGTTGGCCTCCAATCACTCCCTCGACGTAACTGTCTTCGAAGCTAGCTTGCTCTGTTTTCATGGTTCTTACAAGGGCTTTGCAATTTATACCATGACCAGTACATTCACATAAGCCATTCAATGCGGAATGCACAATACCCGGACTTTATGTTTAGACAATGCAATGAGGCCATGGTGTGTGGCACGGCCCTTCAAATCTTTGCCCAACTCCATTCAATATAGGATATTTTTACTGCGATTCCTCACGAGTTGTTGCAAAATATTACCCATTAGAAATACAGCAGACAATTTTTCTCCTCATCTTCTTGAATATTTGTTAAGGCAAGCAGACCAATGCAGTTCGCCAATTCTAAAGCCTTTATTTAGAGGCTCAATGGTATTTTAGAAGCTGCTGTAGTGTCTGTAACAGACGTTTGTCATTCCAATGCACAAAATATGTCAAAAGTAGCCTATGGTCATACTGCTGATGTCCTCAATAAAAAAAAAACACTACCACAATTTCATGCCACGGCAGGAATTTAGCGTCATAACAGAGTATGTGTGCTAAAATCTGTAACAATATAATTAAAGGAAGAAATAACAGAGCACAGGTAAATAAGCAGTTGTTACCAGTTCTTCAGATCTCTGTGGATGTCACAACATAATAAAGATGTACCAGGCCGAATTATATTGAAGCCAACATTAGTGATGAACAGTAGTGGTGCTATTTTGTTGTACTGAAGTTTTTTTTACCATGGTCCTAAGTGCAGTGCACTTTCATGCTGCTTCACCTCTGGTGGCCAGTGAAAACAATTCTGGAATTGGCCAGTAATTGGAAGCGTTCATGTTTGCTCAGCTTGTCATATTAGTAGAGCCCAAAGAAACCTGCTCATTGGAAGTGCAAATCAGCAGCACTTGGAGCAAAACAAGGCACCGACTAGTCCAATTTCTTGCTACATTTAATGTCATTTAGTTACGTGCCCTTGTAATCTTGAAATAACTAGTTCTTACAATATAAACATAAGATTTTCTGTAACCCTTAAACATTACAAAGAACACAGAAATAAATGCAAAAGAGAGTTTTTGAAGTGATGCTGGTTCACACCGTTCTCACGGAGTTCTTTTGCACTGAGCTTCCAGATGCGTTTCCAACCTTGTCCTCTCAGGGAAGCTAGAGAGCAGACACACTAAAATAGCACACAAAGAGAGGTGTTGTTTTGTTGCTTTCTTTCTACCATCTGCAGGACACCGGAGTTCTTATGAGAGCGGTGTGACAACCTTCGGCATCATTGTGTTGGTGCTGTCATTCGTGCTTGCTGTTGCCTGCCTACTCAAGTTCGTTATCTGCAATTGGTAAGCGTTGTCTGTGGAACACTTGGCTCTTCTGCATGCTTATAGTCAAGAAAACAATCTATGTTTACCAGATTGGCAGGAGTGGCCTTATCATTCACTATATCAGCACTATATTAAAATAGTATAGAGCTTACTGCTTATTTTGCCTTTTCTGCAACTCAAGATATTGCACAGCGCTCGCATTGGCAACACCTCTCTCTCTCTCTCTGTGCATGTGCGTGCGTGCGTGTGCGCGTATAAAAAGGCCTGTCATGTTTGTGCAAGCATCAACTGCTTCTTCACCTCAAAAAGTGAGCTTTAATAACAGAACTGCAGAAATAAGCCAACTTGTCTGCCCTTAAAAGAGTGCAATCATGTTCTTAGACTAAAACTCTTATACTATTAGGGTATTTGCATTTCTGATATGAATTTTTATTCTGCGCAAATCACAAGACAGAGGCATCAGTTAAAAATTACACTATTCCACGACGTGAAAAAATATTGTTTTAAATATTCCTTCTTTCCAAGGCATAGGCATGCGCATGCAGGGGGCAGGTGGCGCCCACCCACCATTGTCACCCAAGGGGGGGGGCGGTAACAGTCGGCTCCACAGATTGACATAATAGTGAGGTGTGGGGGCCTTGCAATGAACCTTTGGCCCTGTGAAATGGAACCATGCGCATGCCTACGTTCCAAGGACTGTGACTGAATGCCATAACTTGAATAATACCAAGGTTACTCAGCCTTCACTGCTGTCTTAATTTGCTGCAAACAATGATTAATTAAGTCACAAGCTCAAATATGACCTTCACATTTTCCATTTATTTTAGCAGTTTCATTTAACTGACGTTTACAAAAGTATTGTATGTATCGCACATGGTAGGCAATAACATAAGCAATGTCTTCTATCTTTTTTTATTCTACTGCCCACATTCGTACTGTACTATACTGTACTTGCACACTGCTAAAATCCTTCAGTGGACTGCAGCATCTGTTATTAAATGAAATGAAATAAATAAAATTATTTTTGCAGTGAACCTGATAAATAGTGTATAAATAATATGCTATCAGAACAAATGCAATCTTTTGCTCTGGCAAATTTCTCAGTCTATGTTGCTGCAGGAACCAGCAACCACCACCACCTCCACGAAAACATTCCAGGAAATACAACTACATCACTGTGGGTTACCTCAAAGGTATGTAGTACATCTTCCCACAAGAGTACAGTTCAAGCCTTTTCGAGACTGCTAACACATGATTTCATATTTATCCATTACAGACAATGAGACACAAGCTCTTCTTTCACCGGTAAGTCATCAGCAGATTTGCCAGTTTCACTTACAATAAGCAGACTTGGGCCTCCTTTTTTTGCAGAGTGACTGCTAGAATATTCCAGTTGCTTGTGTTCTCAGGGCGTAATTGCGCTTTCCCAGCAAATAAACGGATTTTCGTGATCATCATGTTCACATTAGGAGGTTTGTCGATAACTTTTTGTAGTTGGGCATTGAAATCAAACATACGTTACGGGGACCACAACGAGTAACATTATTCTTGCGCTGGCACCTGTGTAATTATCAGAGTTAACATTAACCTCAGAGACTGCATTAGAAAGTAAATAAATGTGTTTTCATTCATAATTTAGCACATCTTCCAACATATTTTTGCCGCACCAAAACAATTTATCCTTTAGTTCCCCTTCGTACTTGATGAACCTTTTCACAGTACCTAAAATATTATTTTGAAATGAGGAAACCCTAAACTTTCACATCTTATAGGCTTCTTCACCAAAGTTGAGGCACTTTTCTAGAGCTTGTTTTTTGGATGATTATTCGCTTGTTAGTTCAGAAGCATCAGAAAACTCTGGTCATTAAAATGGGCAGTTATTATGCTCGCAAATAAGTTTTACATAAAAATCAAGCAAACACCAGTGCACCGAGATATTATCACAAAATAGCGACAAGAGGCCGATGCCAGCAGCAGAAAACAAGCACCAACTCTAACAAGAGGTACAAAACGAAATATCGATGAGTTTCTAGCTTGCGCCATCTTGACACATGATGTCTTATTGCAGTAATTACCGAGATTAAAAGCACACTTAGTTCATATATATACATGTATGTCACTACAAAGTAATGAGCAACAAATATGTACCGACTGAACAGTTTCAGCTGGTAGTACTGCTTTGAGAAAAGGCTTTCTCAATTAATATATCATATCCTCTTTCATTGCGAAAATGCTAATTCCTGCAATAAAAAATGAAACCTTCCTGTATTAAATGCACACTTACATTCCAGCGAGATTCCTCTATGATCTGTAACAAGAAAACGAAAATCTTCCAGAGCAGAAGATAGCACTTCTTACTGAATAGCACAGTCTACTGGTTGCAGCAGACGTAATGAAACATTCCGGAGGACTTTTCTATCAAACCACCCCTAAACTGGAGGGGAGGACTGAGCAATCTGCCATGGAGGGGTGCCAATCTGAAAGTGCCAATGGGAAACACATGCCCTGACCGAATCTGTCGGTCAATGTGTATGCCACAGAGCTGAATAGGTCTTCACTTTTCAGTTCACGAGAACTGTATTCATCCATATGCTTTACCATAGTAGTGCGACATCTATGTGCTTACACGATCCTGATGCTTCTCAAATATGCAATATTTTTCAGGGGAAGCGTCCGCCCAGCTACTTAGAAGCCACCCGGGTACCACAAATCACCATTTCTGATTACTCATCCCTTTCTCATCCCACGACGATGGCGTACACAAGCACGTGAGCCGAGCGGATCGTTTAGCAGCCAATGGATCACCATTGTATGCATGTGCTGTAAATAGAGTTCTGATATCCAATTTCATGTTCTACTCCCTTTGGAACACTCTCCACTTGCGTGCTACTATAACATTACGATAGCTACAGTCTGAAATGCCGACTCATTGGAAGAACTAGTATAAGCGAAAGAAGCGCACCAAGGCAGGTGGAAGTATTGCCGTTCAATGAAGGCGAATATCAAATTTTTAGATATATTGAATTCAAATCATGAAAAGCTAATAGCAATTGTACAACACAACTTTCTAAATATTTTACATCACAAACATTGTACATTAAAATTCAACCAGAACCCTGTTGTTGCTCTGTTCACAGTACTGATGGACATAGTATTTTTTTTATCAAGATGTTTACAGTTGTTTTTTACTGCAGTAGTCTGAATCAAATGCATAGTTGGATGAGGTTACCATTATTAGTATGTATTCTAAACCTTTCAAACACCTTCATGGCTGTAATTTCCAAATAATCACCAGGCCTTCCATTATGATATGTCACTTTGCTTGCCATATGCAAGATCACGAACGAGTCTGATCGATTACAACCCAACAATGTAATAGCAAACATACATTGAAAGGAATTCCTATGCAAATGCAAGCTGATTACAACTGTAAAGTATTTTGCTTCTAGCATATGCAATTTAATGTGCCCTCGCTGGTAAACAGACTTGACGCAGTTAGCGAGAACTTGTTTTGCTTTGGTTTTAATGGAACTTACTTTAACATGACAAGTGTGCACACATTAGCAAAATGCCAACCATCAGTGTTCAGCGCACCCGACCTTAAAATGCTAGACCTTTACTGCTGGGGTACGTCTAGATCTTCTTTATGTATGCACAGATCATAAAATGCTTATAACTTCACTCGAATGAAATACTATAACATATATGATGATTACAAAGCCCTAACAGCAGTTTATTTAACACTTTCGCTACCAAAGATGAGATGAACTCATCCACACAGTTTGTACTGCTTCTAGCACAGCTCTTCCATGCTGGGAGAAGCCTTTGGGAGTGCCGCAATCAAGCTATTAAGATTCATTCTTATGAGTTCTCTTTGGATTGTAGTGATGGTGCTGTAGAAAAATTTAAAATCATGCTCAAAAGTGTGTGCTTGGTTCAGAAAGGACTGGATTTTGGCAACCGGAATTTGAAAACGGCAGTCGTCCTCTGCATGCAATGAGCGCACATGCCGGCAATGACTCTTTTTAGAAAAAAAGAAAGGAAAAGAAGAAAGGAACTGTTGTTGTCTGAAATTTTGTAAAATGAAGAATTTCAGTTCTCATGAGAGTGTGGCAGTGACTGCACAGAGCATCATATTTTTTTCTTAATCATCAGATTCACATGACGACATATCTCATTGTATTGAGAGTAGATGCCGATAGATGTAAACGAATGCCTAAAGGTGCACCCAAGGCTTTTTTTCCCTGGGATATCTTGTCCCTGTGCATTACTTTTTAAATTTCAAGAGACATTTTTCACACCATAGATAGCAAAGGTCAGGGCAGTTTTGTGGTGCAGTGCAGTGAAGCCAATGCTCTGCACAATGTAAAAGAGATATTTTGCTTGTACCTTGCACATATAGTGTATACTGTTCCTTGAATTGTTTCAAGATACTTAGAATCATATAGGCAAATGGAAATAGATAGGTATTCATGTATTGTTTTATGCCAAAAAAGTTGGTAGGGAAAGGGTTAATATTATTTATTAATAACTAAATTATGGAAATAAAATAAAATTGACCTATGATAATAAAAGCATTTGTTGTTGTTTTTTTACACTACAAGATCCCAAAGTTGTGGACCTCTCATACATCTTGACATCAAAACAATGAAACAATTAAACATGCAACATTTGTTCGTAAAGCTCCGAGACTGAGCCCATAAAACAATGCGTTCAACATTGAAACCATTTGTGCAGCATCCCTTTAAAGTAGTCTTTGCAGCCTATATAGCTTCCAGCACTTTTTAGGTCTTGGAAGCGGTTGGAAATTGCTTCTTTAGGCAGGGCTGCCAACTTCTTTATAGAGGAGTCCTGAATAGCCTCCACACTCCCCATCCAGTGACCTTCTATGGCTCTCTTCACACAAGAAAACACAAAAAAATCGCATGGGGAGAGGTCAAGTGAGTATGGTGGACGGAGAAGTACAGTAATACTGAAGGTGGCGAGAAATTTTGTCATGCTGAGGGGACTTGCGTTATCGTAAAGGTTCCATTGTCCAGATACTTGAAGTCAGAGCGACGACATCACAGTGCATAACGCATCCGTAGGAGCACGTGGATATAAAACTCCTAATTCACCGTCTACTCGGAATGAACACCTGGTGTACGACACCTCTGGAATCGAAAAAGAAACTATCAGCATGATCCTTCATTTGGTCTTCTGCTGCTGCTCCTTCCTCGATGGCGGAGAGCTTGTGAGCCACCATACAGTGCTTCTGCCTTTTTGTTTGAGGATCTTATTGAAAACAGTGTTTCGTTTTCAGCAACAATGCTGTCGACGAATGCAGCATCCTCCTCTGCCTCGGGACGGACAAGTCAGTGCGGGAGCACGGCACGCCTCTGGCATTCAGCTTTCATTTCCCCAAGTTCTCATGCAAAATAAAGCGGCAAGTTGTCTTAATAATGTGGAGAGCATCCGATAGCATGTGGACTGTAGCGGTGCGGTCTTGCAGTACGATCTCCATGATCCAAGCCATGTTTTCATTCCGTAAGATTGCGTGGCGCTCCTACCTGGTGTCGTCTTCTACTGATGTTCTCCCCGAAATGTACCTTTTGTGCCACTCGAAAATTCGCGCCCCCCGATAATGACTCATCTTGTAAGCGAAACAAAGGAGCTTATATGTCTGTGTGGTTGTCTCGCCAAACTTCCCACAGAATTTCATGCCAACATAGTGTTCAAGGTGGACGTCCATCTCTCCACATGCACTCACAGTAGATAGCGCAGAAGGCTAGTGACAATGTATTTTTCTACATGTCGTACCATCTAGCAACTGCCACAGCAATCAACATAAATAGCTCAGGTAAGCCCGACCAGCCTTGAAGATCGTTTGTATGTCTTCCACAAATTGCGGGCAACGGCCTCTCCAGAATCTGCCACCTCGATCGACCAATGGACAGCTTCCTTACTACGAGACGTTAAGCGTGCTACCAAGACTCCCCCAGAAGACGCCGTAGGCGACACGGTAGACACCAAGCTGCTGCACATGTGGGAGGCCCTCGCTGGTCTGCGCAAGCGCTATGACTCCAACAAATTGAACCGCTCATTACACAAATGCATTGCTATATTAACGCGTCAAATTGAAGATTACGCTCTTCAACTCTCTCGCCAGAACTGGCATTAGCTTTGTAACGTTATGGAACGCTTACCTAACGTGCCCGAAACGTGGAATATTCTTTGTCGTATGATAGAATCAACATCGACAAAAACTGCTCAGCGCCACTCCTTAATCACTGCTCTGCACAATTATCCAGGTACCAATGAAGACCTTATCCAGGACCTATCTAGTCGGTACATTGTCAGTGCTACTTTGGTTGATCTCCCATGCTACACTGGGGTGGATAATCCAGCCCTCGATTCCCAGATTACAAAAGCGGAAGTAAGGTCCGCAGTTTCACAACTGAGACCCCAATCAGTGCCTGGCCCGGATAAAATTAAAAATAAAATCTTACAAAACCTTGACGAATAATCACTTTAAACGTTAACATCTTATCTGCAAATGGTTTGGGAGTCGGGAGAAATACCAACAATATGAAAAAAAGCGCCACAGTCATTCTGATACCTAAACCAGGAAAACTACTCACTATCGAGAACCTTCGGCCGATATCTCTCATATCTTGTGTCGGCAAAGTACTCGAGCACGTTATTCACACTCGACTACAAAGATACATGGAAGAGCATGCCCTCTACCTGCATACAATGTTCGGATTCCACCCAAAACTTTCGACACAAGACGTAATGCTGCAACTGAAGAGTCACATTATCGACGGTGAAGACGGCTCTCGGTATGAGACACGTGCTATTCCGGGGTTAGACCTCACCAAGGCATTTGACAATGTGCTACATTCATCCATCCTTGACGCCCTCACCATGCTCAACGTAGGCGTCCGTACCTACCGCTACATCCACAACTTCTTAACGGACAGGACAGCCACACTCTCGGTCAACGATTTGCCTGCACCTTCCATCACTCTCGGTGGGAAAAGGACACCACAGGGGTCAGTCCTCTCTCTATTTCTTTTCAACCTGGCCATGCTTCACCTTCCGCCACTTCTAGATATCCCCGACCACCACCATAGCACATACGCGGACGATATCACCTTGTGGATTGCCAAAGGTAGCGACGGAGAGATACAGGATGCACTTCAATTGGCTATTGATAGAATCACAACTTACGCTGAGCAAAGAGGATTGTCCTGCTCACCCCAAAAGTCAGAGTTACTTGTCTATCGACCTAGATTTCCCGACAACAGAGACCTTCCCACGATATATCTGCATGTGCAACATCACCCTACACGAACAGTCCCTACCATTCGCGTATTGGGCTTCGGCATTCAGCAGAACAGTGGCAATTCGGAAACAATGCAACTACTACACCATCATGTCTATCAAACCACCAGGCTTATCTCTCGCATCGCCAATAAACAGCACGGCATGAAAGAGGCCAATCTCATACGACTGGTGACCGCCTTCTCCATAAGCAGAATTCCTTATGTTGCTCCATTTATGAAACTTACGCTCACCGACAAGAAAAAAACTAAACATATAGATCAGGCACTGCTACAAGTGCGCGCTGCACCTCCCCATGTCTACGCCCAATGTGAAACTCAATGACCTAAGACTTCACAATACTATAGACGCATCCATTGAATCCCAATGTATATCGCACTACGAATGATTAGGCCACGCTCCTACAGGACGTCATCTCATGTGCGCACTCGGCATACCTTACGTCTCCCAGTTTGGCCAGAAACTCCCAATTCCTTCGGACATTCGCGACACTTTCGTGATTCCCCTCATACCACGCAATATGCACCCTGAATATGACCCGGAAAGACGAGTAGACCGCGCCAAGCAGCTAAGTAAGCGCTACGCGAAAGCCACGCACATGGCGTATGTACACGCAGCGGAATATCCTACGCATCGGGCCATGGCCCTCGCTGTCGCCACTGGACCGCAGTACATAATTACCGCAACGGGCACCATTCGCGCAAACAAGCCCGAAGAAGGCAGCCATCGCTCTCGCCTACAGCTTCAACCCAAGCATCCTGCATCATCAGAGACTCCAAGACTGCCATCCGCAACTTTACCAAAGGTTTGATCTCCCAACTGGCGCTCCGAATTCTCACAAGTTGAGATCATCTGAACTCCGCGTTGAGATCATCATCGCCAAGTTGAGATCATCTGGAAACCAGGCCACTCTGGGCTCGCGGGGAACGAACAAGCTCATGACGTCGCTCAAGCTCTCGTACACCGGGCGCGTCATCCAACAGAGCACCATCCTTCGCGACTTGATGCGGCTGAGCGAGAGATGATGGTCTCCTCGTTTCGCAACAATGCGAGGGACAGAATGGTTACCTTTGGAGAAATCCTAATGTATTACCGCAAGGCCAGACTTAAATACACACCACCAGACAAGTGCCTTAGTAAGCAACAGTCCACTACCTGGTGTCTATTAGAGACACGCACTTTCTCCTGTCCGTCACTGTACAGCCGCATTTACCCCTCTGTTCACACGCCACAATGCAAAGCGTGCCGTGCACCTAACACCGAGCTTGACCATATTATATGGGCCTGCCCCGCAGCTACTCAGTCAGTTAAACACAGCACGAACCCTACATTCACAATCACCACGGCAGAGCAGTGGGAGGCTTTGCTGCTCAGCACCTGCCCGGAGGACCAGCTCTGGGCTGTCCGAAGACGCTGCCAGAATTTAAGGCGTAGCCGCCGCCTGAGGAAGGGGGTTACAGAGGGGCCCGTCTCCTGTCCCCCTGCCACCTTTGACCCCAGCAGGGACACTTCAATAAATTTTCTTCTCTCTCTCTCAGGTAAGCCCGAAAAGATGGTGCTACACATATGCACCAAGATTTATTTTGGGGGAATCATTTCTATAAGAGATAATAAATCAGCCCCGAAACTTTATGGACAAAGGTTGTATGAAGGTGTATCACATTGCTATTAGTAAATGTCATGGTTAGTGACACAGATTTTGAAATAAAGATGTGAATGAATTAAACTTAGAATTCCTAATTATTAGAGAGAAATGCAAGATTAACCTTTGTTTCATAAATGCAATTTTTTATGTCATACTTTATACTTCCAAGGTCATTTTAGCACAAAAGTCAAAACAAATAGGTGACCTTGAAGCAACCAGAAATCTTGAATGACTCTGCAAAAAAATATGTAAGCAACATAAATGATCTGCACTTAAAGCTCTTCTTCAAAACAAAAATAAAAAGAAAAACTTATCAGAAATCTTGTACCAGGAAAACCCTTCTTTTTAAGAATATTCATCAGTCTTTGGAAAAACACGCAGTGTATTGCTGTGCTCGACACATGGCTACCACAATGGCCAATGCATGCAGGTCAGAAGCCTCCCAGAAATGCCACAAAATAAGAGAAAAGCACGAGAACATCCACATGAAATCTTGTTTTGTTAAAAATGTGAACTCAGAACATGAATTTTATTGTGATGTTAGTATCCCTTTTGCCTTTGCATGTGTGCGTACCATTTTCATCTTTCTTCGTGCGACTGAGC